AAAAAAAAAAACAAACAAACAACAACACACCAACCCTGGTCCCATTTTCTCTGTATTTACATAAGTGATAGGACAGTATTTGGATTGTAAATCTTGGCACGTAATGATATGATTATCCTTGTTATGAGAGGGCTGGGTAATTTCAGTCGTGATTTTGTCAGAGCGGCAGTCTGTCCTTCTGGGAAAGCTGATCTTTTCCAGGAAGAGCTAAGGCCAGCCCAAGAAAAGACATTTCTTTCTTGTGGTATATGTCACCAGCTGAATGTAAATGTTCGGACAGGACCTCTTGAAACCTTTCTTGGTTCTCAGTTTCCAAACTGCAAACTCAACTCGCCACAAGAGCAGCGCTGCCCTGCAGCACTAACATGTGGGTCTGATGGTTGTGCTGGGGAAAGGCTCAAAGCTCTTCAATGAAAAAGACTGGCATAAATATTCTCCCAAAATGAGGCGTGTTCCGTGTTCCATATCCCTTGACAAATATTTGAATCCAGCATAGCCTGTACCTAGAAAAACTATGCATCGAGAAAAGCCCAAGGAATAACCATGTATCAAGGATAGATAGCCCAGTGCTGGGCTCCTGCTGAGTACTTTGGGCTCTGCAGGACACACAGTGAGACTGCCTCTCAACGAGGACTCAGTCCCAATTCTTCAGCCTAACTCTTCAGGACAGAGTCCTTCAGACTAGGAGATAAAGGTGGTGGAGGAATTGCAAAGCCTAAAGTTTCCCACTTGACCCAAGGCCGGTTTTCCAGACTGTCTCAGAAAATAGGGGGAAAAAAGAGAAAGAAAAAAAAAATCCAGCTGGCACTTCGAAGTAGTACATCTTCCTTAGGTTCTCAGAATCAAATCAAAGAACACCTCAGATCCCAACTCAAGTGCTGGGAAGCATTGTGCGGGAAAAAAAATATCCATCTCTCTTGACCATAAGGACTAGGAAGCCTAGCTATTGCAAACCTTTCCCTTGGGTGCCCATGCAAAGCTTTATAGGCTTGATAGAGATGAGTCAAGCAGGAGAGCAAGGCAAGAGGGAGAGAAAGGATCGCTTGCTTTCTTGGTTGGCTTTTTTTAAATTATCAGTAATTCTCACCACCATCAGGAAAAATCACAGCTCAGAAGCCATTCCTTTAATTTTTCAAAAAAAAAAAAATAAGGAAACATCTTCTATTAAAATTTTTAGAGTTCACTTGCAAAATAGGTACCATTGTAGTCATGATGAAATAAAGAAGCAAGCAAGGCAAGGATTATATAAAGCTATACATTTCAGCGTCCTTTTTAGACCAACTGGTATAGCTGGAAATAATCTGCGAGGTCTGGGCTATGCAAGATTTTCTGTCTATATATACTTTACTTCAATCTTAGCCCAACAGTACAGAGGAGAGGTATTTTATTAAAATATTTATTACTTCCTGCTTTCTTGAAACCTAATACCTATATATTACCCCTAGAGCCGCATGAAGATCTCCCATACATCAACAAACTACTAACAGCAAAAACGGCCCCAGTGCCCGATGGCAGCTGGACTGGCACGCCTCCTGCCCTTCAGAGCCTGGAGAAGAGTACCAGAACAAGGGATCTCACTTAAAAGCAGCAGGAGAGTGCCTGCAGGCTGAGAGAGCTGGTTTGCTTGTGGACTCCTAAATCTCAGTGTTTTGTGAGGTCTCATTTTTCTGCAAACTTTTTTTCCCCAAGCTTTGAGGTTGGCTAAACCGCTGTTTAGCTGAGGGCTGTTCTAAAATACTCATTGTTAACTAGAAGCTAAACCCGAAGTCCCTTGCTGGGAGATCTTTCCCTAGCGTTTCTGCACACAGAGTTAAAAGTCGGATCTCCACAGCTCAGATTTTGATGAGACGATGACAGAGCAATCTTTGATGCCTGTCTCTTTGCTTTGATCCTGTATCTTGTCCCATCTAAGGACGCAGAGCTTAGTCAGGCCCTGGGAGATGCCGAGAGCATAACAAGCCATCCCGCTTCCCCCGGTGCGTCCCGTCGGGGAGAGAGCGGCCGCCTGTAGCCCGTGGGGTGAGGATGTTGGTGGGAAGTCCCGTTCACACTCTCCAGCCCCCATCAGGCTGCAGGCGCTTGACAGACCCTGTCGGGCCGTGGGGAGCCCGGGCGGCAGCCCCTGGGGAGCGGCACACCGGCGCTGCCGCCGCTCCCCCTCGGCCCGCCCACCCTCGGCGCAGCCCGACGGCTGCAGATCAAAGGCTGCCCGGGACGCCGAGCAAACCTAGCAGAGATGGCAGCTCCCAGCCACTTCACTGTTTGTCTGGGAAACAATAGGAAAGTCTTTGCCAAGCTGGAGAGACAACTTTCTTTTCTTTATGCGAGGTAGCCGGGAAAAAGAAAAAGCGGGGTAGGGGAGACGGAGAGGAGCAGAGCACAGACGTGTTTCTCTACGGGGCTGGTGCTATGGCCCGACGCTTCTCCTCCAGCCCTCTCCGTCAGGCGAAGCACGAAGCCCCAGAGCTCAGTGTCTGGAGACGGGCTGGAGTCTCGGCGGGGGACAGGGGTTGCGCCCAGCCTGGGAGCTGTGGGACCAAGAGAGAGCGATGCGCCCGCAGCTCCTCCAACGGGTTCGTAGGTTCCCATAAGGGCCGAGGCGATGCGCTGCCCTCTCAGGGCGCGCAGGCTTAGGCCCCGAAGGAGCGCTAGGGAGCTCGAGCATTGGCAAAAGACACGCCGAAAATACCGTCTAGGGGCGCTGGAAACGTGCCCCCGGCACTGGCGGAGGCCAGGGCATCGCTCCCGCCTCTGGTCCGCAGCCGCCTCCCCGACGGGGTGCGGACGAGCGCCGGGGGCTGGCTGCTGTGCCCTGGGACTGCTGCTGCCTTGCTAGATCTGTCGTTGATGGCTCCAGAAAAAGCTGTCCAAGTCCTGTTCTCTGGAACGGTTCCTGAGCTACGGGATCCGCGTCCAAAAGTGTTGAGCAATGCCGCGGGCAGCCAAAAAGCCATTTCCTACTTGCTCCTAGGACTTTTCCAGGGGACCCCAGCCCGGCAGAGGCTGGTCCGTTTGCAACTCCTCGCTTGACAAAATCCAAAAGGTGGCCGTGAAGACTTTGCCATTCCCGGGGTAGGAAGCAGTGGGGTCTAGCAGTCCGGCAGGGCATACGGCAGGGCTGGCATTCCCGTTGAGAGAGGGGCTGCAGGCTGGAAAGGCTCCAGGTACCAGCCCTGTTTAAATTCAGCATCTTCCCTTTCACCGAGACACTTCAAAAGAAAAGACGGGGCGCGCAGGGATGGAGATCGGGTCGCTTTTAGGAGGTTGTGTGCGTGCCTCCGCTCGGAATCTCGGGGCATTTTAGGCTACCAGGTCAGGGGGAACGAGGTGAGAAAGGGGATCTAGAGGAGGGAAGGTGGCGAAAAACAAAGGGTGGGGGAAGGGACGGGAGAACAGCGGGGTGAAGGAAGAGAGGGATGCGAGAAGAGAGGGAGCCGCTTACTTGGTCGGTGCGCGTCCCCGCTTTCCCCCCTGGGGCGGGCACCGCCGCTGCCCGCGAAGCCCCGGCGGGTCGCTCCCGCCCCCGCGGCAGGAATGCGGCGCGGTGGCCCCGCCGTCCCAATGTGTTTGTCATTAGCTCTGCCCGCGCTGCTCGTCGCCGCACCCCGACGGCCGGCGCAGCGCAGCGCTGCACCCCCACTCCCCTCCGAGGGGTCGCCAGCGCCCGCCGCCTGCGCCCCGCGGAAAGAAGCCCTTCGCTCGGCTCAGAGCATCGGGGAAGAAGGGAAAAAAATTAAAAAATTAAAAATAAAAATAAAAAAAAAAAGAAAAGAAAAGAAAAGGAAAAAAAACAGACAGAAGAAAACCCCCAACAAATAAATAGAGGACAAACTAATAAAATAAACAAGGAAAAAGCCGCGGGAGAAAAGGTGTAAAAAAAGAAAAAGGTGGGGAAAATGCCCCGCACCTCTTACCTTCTCCTTTACAATCCGCAGCCCCAATCCTGCAGATTGTAAAACATCCAAAATATGTCCACGTCTTTTGTGACTTTCCCTGCTCAGCCGCGCTCTTTCCCTCCCGCTCGCCCTCCCTCCCGATCCGACTGTAATGGTCTCACAAACCGCGTCCCGTAATTGATTCAATGTTATAGACCATCCTTCCAAAACTAATCATTTGCTTTAAGTAAATAGCTGTCAGGAAATGAAGCCCCCCTCAGGCCCCTTCAGAATAAGAGCGTGCTGGCTCTCCCGGCGCCCCCAGCCCCGCGGCCGGAGGCGGGCGCGCCGACGGGAGGCTCTTACGCAGGCAGGGGGCCAGTCTCTGCCTCCAGATTTCAGCAGCCTTGCAGGGGAGGGGGAGGTTGGCCATATGGCAGGGGCGAGGGGGAGGAAAGGGGGAAGCGGGGAGTTTTGCTCTGCAGGGGGAGAAAATTTAAAAAAAAAAAAAAAAAAAAAAAAAAAAGAGACCCAAAAAACTTTCATGAAAACTCAGAGTGCTCCCAAATTTCATGAATGAGCCTTCCCTCCTCAGACCCTCTAGGACACTGGGTCGGGCGCCGAGCTCGATGTCCACGCTTACAGTGTGAGTTTATGGATGGGGAGTTTGATTTGGAAACGAATTCGCGGCTTCCTCGTGTCCTTTGTACACCTCTGTGCTCGGGTTTGGGCTAGAAAGCTGGATGGACGGCCGTGAGCCAGCCAGGACAAGGAGCCACAGAGAGACAGGGGGAGAGACGAATCACTAACATTTATGAATGAAAGACACAACGAAAGGTAACCTTCGCCAGGAGTCAGCCCCCCCAAAGCCCGCAGCTCCGACGGGACCGAGAACACTCTTCTCTTCGTCTCTGCCTTCGCTTTGCCCAGCGCAAACAGAGCCCAATCATAACCAAACCAGGGACACGGCAAGAGCCGGAGGTGCGGCGGAGGCGCGGGCAGCGCACGTCCGAGCCCGTCCTGTTTGAACACGCTCCAGACGGAGCTTTGATCCCCGCCGGGGAACCAGCGCTGGGTATCTCTGCTTTGTTGACCGTGGCTATCACTGGCGATAAGGGGTGGCCGAGGGAGCTGCCGAGGAGCTGCCCTAGCCGCCCTTTTGCTGCAGGCTTCGTGCGGAGCGAGGCGAGCGGGGCCGGAGGGGCGCGGCGATGCGGCGGCCGCGGGAGAGGGGGCAGTGCAGCCCCAGGAACGGAGCGGAGCTGAGCGGGTCCCTGCTCCCTTCTGGGGAGCGCACCGGCCCCACAGCTCCGTGACGGGGCTTCTCCCGTTTCCTTCCCTCCCCAATCCAGCACCACCATCACCCGCACCTCTTTCTCCCATTTAGTATTAAACAAAAGTTTGTTCCCGAAGTCAAGAGCCAGGACTCAGTGGTTTTTCTCTTTCCTGAGGGAGCGTTAAGCCTCTGAAATGAAGATGCCCCGAAGAGAACAGAGGCAGAAACGAGAACCAACTCCCAAGGATGCGCGCTCAGGCTGAGGGTACCCCTATCTGGGCTCTCAGGGCTCCCGGCGGCGCTCCTGGCCCTTTGCAAGCCCGCCACTAGTGCATCCTCGGCTCGGGTGAGTGCACAACCCCGCTATTGCTTCCACATGTTACTCCAGGAAATCATCGGAGTCAGATCTATGAGCAGCCCCTGGTCGGAATGCTAACAGGATACCGTAATGCTTGTGAATAAACAACAGGCTCCCAGTGAGTCAAAAAAGCACGAAGGAGAAAAAAAAAAAAAAAAAAGCCAAACCAAACAAACAACACAGGAGGAAAAACCCCACACCGCACCCTGGAACTCTCCATCTGAGAGGGTGAGCGCACCCAGCATCCTGAACCCCTTAATTTGTAGAGGGAAATGCTTTATCATTACTTAAATCAGAGCTGCCGGTTCTCACAAATTTAAGTCCCTCGAAGATGAGCATCAACTGCCTATGCGCCGGGGTGACCCTACAGGGCTCAGGCCAAGATGTACCGGCGTGAGAGTATCTGTTTTAACGAGCGGGATGATTCCTGGCGAAATACCATCAGGATGGGATGTAATGCGAGAGTTACTCTTTCGAAAAGAAAGGAGCAAAAGGAAAGGGGAGGAGGCGCCTTCTGGTTGCAATTACCTGCCTCATTTGAATAATGCCTTTGTCATGATCATTATCGAGAGGTCGTTAACGGCTTCCACGTGGGATCTCACAAGACCCAGCGAAAAATAAAAATTGCAAACTGAGGGACTAGCAAGGCTGCCTCCTAGGCCAGTCTGGCTCTTCGGGAGGGGGCCCGACGACTCTGTGAAGACAGAGACGGAAGTGTTCCGTGGCCCAGGGATCCTTCTGGGGGACGGTGACACTTTCCCCGGCGCAGCTTTCCCTTCCCCACGCTAAGGGCCCGGCCGTGTGTCCCCACGCCCGCCCCCCGAGGAGCACTGAGCCGGCGTGAGCTGGGCTCTGCCGGTCCCTCTGCCCAGAGCCGGCGGTGCCTATGGATTGGTCCCGGGCAGAGGAGGTGGTAGTTAAAATAAACCCTCCGGGGCGGCTGCTGAGCTCTGCTTCCCGCCCCGTGTAGTGCATGGGGGTCCCATCCAGGGAGGCGAGGGGGACGTGGGGTTAGAGAGAGGACAGGCTGGGGGTGGAGGGATTTTTTTACCTCTCCTCTCCCCTGTCCTCCCGCCTTCCCCTCCCTTGAAGGGCTGGAGCATAAAGCATCCCGTTAGCGTGTGTTTATGTGGTAACAGATGGAAGCTGCACGTCTCAAAGAAAGTGCGGCGCCCGGGCTAGAGCCGCTCTCGCCTGTTTACGCTCCCAAATTGCCCCTGAGGTGGGCGGGGGTGTGTGTCCCCCTCCCCGGGCCCGCGGCGCCGTCGGAGTCCGGCCAGCGGGAGCACCGACGTCTCGGGTTATTGCGGGGCTGCTCTCTCCACTCTCAGACGCTTCCAGGGGGGCTGGGAGCCTTTGAGGCCCCTTTCCCCCCTCCCCCGCTCAGCATCCCCCTCCTTGGGGAAATCACAATTTGCTTCAAGTAATAAATCCTTTCCTGCTGCTCTCTCCCAAGGGTGAGCAGGGGAGCGGTTAACTGGATAAGCCTATTGAACAACCTTATAGTGGCTTGTGTGGCCATCGTCGGGACTGGGCAGGCGAGAGGGGGTGCCCCGGCCCGGGCTCTGCGGGAACCCCCACTTAGGGGCCGCAGCCTTTGGACTGGATGGGAAGGCACGTCTGGGTTTTACTATCGTTACCCACGTTCAGAGATGCACGGAGCAGTAGTCACCCTTTTTACCTTTCAGAGCGGGAACCCCTACGTGAAGAGCAGCTACAGCCTGGAGCAGAGACCCCTCAAACCCCTGGAGAGGGAGAAAGCAGAGCGGCCTCACGTCTGTGTTCACATCTATCGCTCAGGGAGGAGATACAGCGGTGAGGGCTGCCTCACCTAGGAAGGAGAGCTAAGCAGGAGACCACCAAGGCCCCGAGCCCCTCCGGGAAATGTGTTCTGACGGCGGGAGGGTCTTGTGTACATTTACAATCCTATCAGATTTTTAGATTTTTATTTCTTTCCATCTTTCCACAAATACAGATTCCCTCATTTTGTTTGTTCAACAGAATTTGGCTCTGAATAGCAGGGATCCCGTGTCACTGGGAGGACAGGCAGCCAGACAAAAGAAATTAACTTTGCCCAGCCTGCCCTCCCTAACTTTTATTTTTATTTTTTAATTTTTTTATTCCCTGCATGACTGTTTGAGGTAGTTCCCCGTACCCGTCGTTTTCCCACCGAGGCCGCTGCTGCCACGACGTCGAGCTGTTTTGCTTTCATTGTTGCGTTTGGCTCTTGATATTAAAAGATGCCAAAACAGCCGTAGAAGCCTCATTCTTTGAAAAACAGACTTTGCTTTTCCTTTTGCTCCCGCCCTGACTTTTTTGACTGAGGCAGAACAAACAGCTCTCTCTGGTCCCAGAAGTTTAGGGCAGTTTAGGGGTGAGGAGAAGCGAGGGGAAAAGGGGTTGTTACCCGCCCTGGCCCCTCGCCGCCGGCTGGCTCCGCTCCCCGCTCCGTGTCCCGGGAGGGAGCCCCGGCCCCTCCGGCACACCGACGGGCGGGGACCCAGCTCCTCAGGGGTACGGACGCCTCCGGGGTGTGTGCTGGGTGCCTTCCCCCTGGCCGAGGGCAGTGCCACCGCCGCCCGCGACACTAGAGGGCACCGGAGCCCGCCGGAGCAGCCGGCCCAGCCCGGCAGGGGCACCGAGCCCCGCCAGCCGCTGCTGCCTCTGCGCTTCATCAGCGACAGACCGGCTCTGGAGAATATGGCGAAGAGGGGCCGTCCCGGGAATGTAATGGTTCCAGCCCCGCAGGTCCAGCCCGGGCCGGGCTCAGCAGCTCGGGGGATGTGGTATGTTGCAAGCAAAGCAGAGACATAAATTCCTCCCGTGCCACAAATGAAAAGTTTTCCCTCTGAAATCAAAGGATCCTCTGCTGATTCAGCCCAGGTTTGACTTCGGTTCATAACTCCCGAGACCATTATCTCTGCCTTTGTTCTTTCGAGCTGCAGCAATTAATGGATTACAGCAGGACAAAACCACAGCCAGACCAAACTGCTTTCGTTCTGCAGCTATTTACTATTAGTACCAGCTTTGCTTCCCTCAGGCTACTGTGCTTGGGAATCCAGCCCTGAGTTCTGCACGGGGGAGCTGGATGGTGTGGAGGCCACCCTGGATGTCGTGGTCATGGTCACCGTGGCACAATGGGCATGTGCCAACATCTGTGTCAATGTCGGTCCCCGCATATGCCTGGACTCATCATGTCCACCCTACTTTCCTACCATGGTCACAGAAGAGCCAAGATAGGCTGAGCATCATAAAGTGTCAGGCTCAGGAGAGAAACATATCTATTCACTGAGTACCCAGAAACACCCATGCTCCAGGCAAGGGATGTAATTTTTCTGCTTCATCCCACAAGAGATTTTCTTCTGACACTTAGTGATTAACACACACATTTGGGGTGATTTTCTGGGGAAATACTGGAGCTACAGCCAAGGTTTATGAATTGTAGTTAGGTTTCTAAAAGGATCCCTCTACTTGCCAAATCATTCAAGCTCCAAAATATCCCCACAAACAAAATATTGTTCCTCTATTTCTGTGGCATGGACTGTTTCTGAATATGGATCTTCCCCATCTTAAGGATTAAGAAGATGGG